GGTGGCTGTGCCCCGGGGAGAGGGGCAGAGAGGCCCCCTACGACACAGGCAGGCTGTGAGGACACTGCTTTTCCCAACAAAAGGGATAGGCAAAAGGAAAGAGCAAAGGAGAAAGCACTCTTCTTGCTCTTTTTAAGCATTACTGTGTGGTTACCCCATGGCTTCAAGCTTTCTCATTCATAACACACTTCCCAGGACAGCACCTTCTCATAATCACTAGGGTTATTAGCTAGGTGCACAAGTTCTTTCTTAAGTTTCAAACCCTGAGACTTTAAGATTGTCAGATTTTCTGCTGAACTTTCCTAGAATCATTATGGTTGGAAAAGATCTTCAAGATCATCGAGTCCAACTGTAAACCCATCCCTGCCTGCTAACCCATGTCCCCAAGTGCCTCATCTACACGTTCCTTGAACACTGCCAGGGATGGTGACCCCATCACTTCCAAACCAGTTCCAAGGTTCACCTCTCCTTCCATGTAAAAATTTTCCTTAATATCTAACCCCAGTCTATCCTGGTACAACCTGAGGTCATTTTCTCTTGCCCTCGCGGTAGCTCTTAACACTTAGTAAAGCCAGGACTATGACAGGAAGACAGGGAGCAGACTGAAGACAGGCAGTGTGCAAATAATCTAGGTGTTTTTAACATTCTTACAGCAGATAATCTTGTCTTGGTAGGAGGGAGCTCTGACCGCGTTTCGCAAGACCTACGACAAGACCGTGGCGCTGGGACACCGCCTGGATATCGTGTTCTATCTCCTAAGGATCGGCCTGTTTTACATGGATAACGACCTCATCACGCGGAACATCGAAAAAGCAAAAAGGTACCCGTGGGTTGCTGAGTGCTCTAAAACACTGGGGGACAAACACCATAAATACCTGAAATGATTAAGAGCGGTAGTGAGAATCAAAGAACAGGGGGTGGTGCTGCCTTGTTCACTAAAGAGAGTTTCCTATTCCCCCATCTTGTGTGAAGAGGAGGAGAAAAGAAGGAATAATTTGTGTCAACTATGTTCTAGTTGACTTGACTTGAATTTGCAGCCTGGCTTCCTACTTTTCTGCTCTGTAGCTGTTAAAGACAAACAGGTTTGGGTGTAATTATCCTGCAGAGTAACGTGCAGTGCAGGAGTACCAGGTGAATCCGGCCAAGGCCAGGGCCATGCACTTGGCTTGATGAAGTGCCCATTTTTAACCCGAAGGAGGATCCTCCTGGCAGGACAGGTATGGGTGGGTGCAGGTTTCCTGCCTCTTTTCCACTGCTGGCTTCAGCTTCTCTGTGCACTCACCCTTTGGAACTTCACTGTGACCGTAACAAGCTGAAATTTCCAATCTCTTGGCAGACCAAGGCAGATGTGCTCCCTGTTATGACATTCCTTGGATATTTTTGAATATTGGTCTTCTCAAGAGGTTTTGCTTACAGTTATATCAACATTATTTCAGTATGATTCTTGAAGGTTGTTTTGATGGTAATTTAAAAAATTTTAATATGGTCCTAGTTAGACATATTGATTTTTAGTAGCAAAGCCAACAGAAATAGGTTTCCATGGCTGAGGTTGACAGTAATGTTTAGATGCACATCTCAAGGCTTGTCAGTGCATTTTCAGAGGTTATAAAGTCTTACCTACTGTTCTTGTTTCATATAGTAATATGAATAAATATTTCTTTGTTCTACTTTAAGTCTCATAGAAGAAGGGGGAGACTGGGACAGGAGAAATCGCCTAAAGGTCTACCAGGGTCTTTACTGCGTGGCTATTCGAGATTTCAAACAAGCAGCAGAGCTCTTTCTTGATACAGTTTCAACGTTCACATCCTATGAACTTATGGATTACAAAACATTTGTAACCTACACCGTCTATGTCAGCATGATTGCATTAGACAGGCCCGACCTTAGGGAGAAGGTAAGGAAGGGGATGACCACACTGGTTTAAACAGACCCAGTCTCTCTCTAACCTGCTTGTGTCCTGGCTGGAAGTAGCAGTATTTGAACATGCTCTTTGGTTGTTCTCAGGTTATCAAAGGAGCAGAGATTCTGGAAGTTCTGCACAGCTTGCCGGCCGTCCGGCAGTACCTCTTCTCTCTCTACGAGTGCCGTTACGCAGCCTTCTTCCAGTCGCTAGGTGAGGCTGTGTTCTTCTTCCCACGCTGCATTTAAGATGCTGTATTTGTTTCACATCATGAACAAGTTTTGTGGAGCAGCTATATCCTACAACTAGTTACTGCTCACCGTGGCCTTTCTGGTTCAGTTTCTACCTAAAACATCAAAATGAAGGAAAAGCTTTTCAGAAGTTACTCACTCTTGCCAGTTCTCGAGAAGACTGCAGTTTTTCCTGCTGTGAGATTGAGCATAGCAGAAAATAAGATGTTTAGAAACAGCAAAAAGGCCCCTTCATTTTATGAAAGACAAGGCTTGACAAGAGCAAAAGTTACGAGCAATATTTTCCTATTACTGGTGCATGAGCTGAGAACTAAAAGTGCCAGTAGAAAAAGCCATTTCTTCGGTATCTAGTAATGCTTATAACTAATTCCAGAGCCACTACTTGCTTACCCAGCTTTAGGTAAGAATGTCTCTTCATATAGAAATATAGTAAGTGCTGTTTTTGTTTCAGCATTGCATTATTCCTATGGGTCAACAAATTCCAGTATTAAAGAGGTGGTCCTGCTAAGACCAGCATAAGAGATACTAGCTCACATCCTAAAAGTGGTATTCCGTGCCAAAAAAGGGGCTGATTAGCTTGGTCAAAATATTGCTTACATGTTATTTTTGCTTCTGATTACAGAACTAACAAGTTCTACTAATTTATTTCTGTACAGCGTCGAATACCTTTCATCCCCTGAAGTACACAAAATACGAACAATGTTCACACTGATCACCTGTGTACTGGTGCTGCATATTTTGTTTAAATAACTGATATTTTACATTTCCTGCAAGGCTTTACAGACTTGATTTCTTTTCAGCTATTGTAGAACAAGAGATGAAAAAAGACTGGCTGTTTGCACCTCACTACCGATACTACGTCCGGGAAATGAGGATTCACGCGTACAGCCAGCTCCTGGAGTCCTACCGCTCCCTGACACTAGGATACATGGCAGAAGCGTTTGGAGTCAGCGTAGAATTTATAGATCAGTAAGTTATTGTTTGGCTTTTTAAGTTTATAGAAATCTTATTTTACATGTTTTAATTATTTATGAAAATCTCACTGAAAATAATAACCTGTGGCTCAAAACGTGCCAAGTTATGCTTGTATGGAAGATTAAAAAAATATATAGTAAATCACAGATCCAAATAAATAACATTATGATTTAAGAATTACCTTTATCATGAAATAAAGTTGTAGGCCACCAGTTGTTTAAGTGAAAAAAATATATTTAGAGCTACTAAAACAAAGGACTATTAATAGATTTTAACAATTTGAGTGGCATGAAGTTTTTAACATCAGGATAAATTCTGAATATGCACGATCTGTGTATGAATATGCTGCCTGTGTATTTGAACAGTAGTTGATGCTGAACTGAATCTCAATTCCATTTCTCAAGAATAAGGATTTGTCCTGAGAGGAAAATATTGTCTTAAAACTTTTACATCCAGATTGCTAGAGTGTTTATGTTGGTGTTTAACCCTGGCACGCTGAAGGTTTAGTAAGATGAGGGTGTCCTTGTGAAAATACATATGCTGTTGCTTCAGAAATGAAGTGTGATGAAGATGATGTCTTGTAGTAACATGTTCTGTGCTGCTAGGCCCATGATTTCTTGATGAAACATCATTACTTAACCCTCTTAACCCTCTTCTTTTTTTAATTAGGGAGCTTTCAAGATTTATTGCAGCTGGGCGATTGCACTGCAAAATAGATAAAGTAAATGAGATTGTAGAAACTAACAGGTATGCTATAAATTCCTATAGATTGTTCTTGACAGTTAATTCTGTACGTTTTGATGACACTTTTTGTAGAAAAGTAAGTGGCTTGATGTAAAACATACTCTAATTTCTAAATCTCTTTTTTTCCATAAATCTAGACCGGATAGCAAGAACTGGCAGTACCAAGAAACCATCAAGAAAGGAGATCTGCTGCTAAACAGAGTTCAGAAACTTTCCAGAGTAATTAATATGTAATTTTGTTTTTAAGCAAGGGAAGGGAATGCAAAATTTAGATGTTTAAAAAAGTTTTGGAAGTAACCTATAAATATATTGTATAACTTGTTATACTGTAGGTAAGGAAATTACTAGTGAGAGAAGTAGTGTTTTTACAGTCCACTTCATTATGTACAACAATGTTCCATTTTGGCATATGGATCCCAGTTCATTTATTAAATGTATGATACAGTTGATGATCTTTTGTAGTATATTTTGTTCCTTTGCTTGCCTGTGTATTCAATGTTCAGCATTTAATAACAAAGCAGGACCAAGATCTGTGAGCAAAGAGAACCCATGAGCTCTTTCTGAAAAGAACCCAGACTTGCTTGTATTAGACTAATACATTTGAATCAAAAAAGAAACAGTTAAATAGTAGAAACTACAATAAAAGTAGCCAAAAATGTTGGCTGACCAAAAGAGCTGCTGCTATTAAAGGATTGAAGTTGAGGGGAGAAGGGCAGGGATGCGAATGGCCGTGGTGGAGCAGCGGGATGCAGCTTGCACCGGCAGTACCTTTGGGAGCACAGGCAGCAGAAGCAGCCTGGCTTTTAAAATGGTGCTTTTGCTAGTTGTTGAAGTCAATGCAACAGCAAAGTGTTATATCTGAAAATTACTTCCTCTGTGAGATTTGCAGATGGCAAAATGACAGTGGGAACAGTGGGAAGATACTACTGCAACTTGACACAGCTGATCAAATACTGTAGAGTATTTCTTTGCTCACAGCTGCCAAGGAGTAAGTGTTTCAAGTAGGCTGCTGCCATTCTGATGACACACGGTTTCTGTCCTTAGCAGAGCCTAAGGCAGCAGCTGTTCGCCCTGCTTTCTTGGCCTGGCTTGAGAGCTTTTTTCCTAAGGAAAAGGCCTGTGACTTTGTTCTGCTCGCTGTTTGATCCCAATGCGTGTAGCAACAGAATCCGTTTAATGTCTGTGTTCGTTGTAACCTCAGTACCTGAAGTAACACGTACATGCAGATACCCAGAGAAGGGTCCTGGTGTTTGGAAGCTGAAGTGCTGGGATAGCATGGGATTTCACATTCCTGCCCTGCTTACTCCAGATCTCGGAGGAACCCTCGGAGTCACGGCCACGTGTTGCGGATCGGACTCCCCAAAATCTGCCTTGAGGTTCCATTAATCTTCTCTGCTGAACTGGTCTGAAACCCCAAGTAGAACTTATAAAATCTGCCTTGAGGTTCCATTAATCTCTGCTGAACTGGTCTGAAAACCCAAGTAGAACTTACGGATTTTGGGGGGGTTTCCTTTTACTACTTGCTAGAGGCTAGATTTGTTTTTCCTCTAAGTAGTAGCTAACATTCAAAAAATACAAATTTCAGGCTTAATTAAGTAGAAAACTGATCATTATTGTTTTTAGAACAGCATGGGTGATAAAAGGAGAACCCTGGCTTGTTTACATGCGACCAGCTAATAATTCCATCTTTTGTCTGTTTACACGTGTATCACTTCACTTCCTGTGAAGTTTTAATTAACAACCCAGTGGTGAGAGCTGCAGAAGTCTCTTGTGTTTTTCCTACAGTGCTTCCATAGCAGATGAAGTAGAGCAAGCTGGACAAAGTTTAAATCTAGCTACCTCTGGGTAACATTATTTCTACTCATTCCCATGTTAAACCTAGCAGCAGACCATGCCACAGATCTCACTAATTCAGAGACTTCTGGTGCACTGATGAATTTTCCTTTCTGACGTAAGTGTATCTTAACATGCCTTAAATAAATATTTCAAAACTTCATGAACATCTCAGGCAGCCACTGAGCTTGTGTCTTGCCTTTTTTTTTTTTTAAACTGTAAAATGTAGGGGATAGAAGTTCTCTTACTCATTAGAATTATACTAATATAGACTTAATTCACTTAATTTAGGGGAAAATATTCCTCCTGTCCTGGTGTACATAAGTGCACCAGAAAAAGAATAGAAGCATTGTTGTCTATTTTGTGAGGAGCAGAAAAGTATTAAAGATCACTAATGTGGTGCAAGATAAATGTTTGTGGAGCTTTCACTTTTTTTTTTTTTGTAAGTGAAAAAGTGAAAAATCAATGTTCAAAACAAATGTCCATCCTACTAGAGCAAAGTTGTTTTTCAGCATTCTTCTCGTGAATTAATTCCAGTAAGGTGACATGTCAAGGCAATCAGCTTTATCTAATAAAACACTAATTGTAGAGAATTATTAAAGACCTTCTCTAAGATCCTGACAAACCTCGCTCATTTTTCTGATCCCAGGCCTCTTTCTTGCAGAGGAGAATCCGGGAGGAACCTGCAGCGTTTTGAGTTTGTGGCACTCTAGACAAACCCTTTCATGCCTCAGCCTTGACACCTTTCTCCATGGGTTTAACCCACGTGCCAAAACTGTGCGTTCTCTGCTGTAATTCAGCCCTGATACAATTCCTTACGCTAATGCCATTCTCCAATCCTGCTTTGGTAGCAAGAAGGTAGCCTGAATCCAAGTCATGTTTCGAGATGCAGCCTCAGAGGTGTTTGTCACCTCATCTGCAATTCAACTCACTGCCATTAGCCTGTAGGGACATGGAAAGGAAGGAAAGGAAATACAGAATGTTGCCGGGTTTGTCACTAAAGTGCTACAAACTGGCTGAAATCGAACCTGTCTCCAAGCATTTTTTGACTCACCTGCCTCTTCTTTCCCCAAAGATTGAGCTCCAAAGTTAGTGTGTGAGTATAATAAACATGCACAGCTTACCTGCGTCATGCAGACGACTGAGTTATTCTCTGGATATTTTTCTATCTTCCCTCTTACTGATGGGCTTCTTTTAGTTGCTGCTCTGGTCTTGCTGACACTGGACAAGTTGCTCTTTTCAGAAAAATTACCTGCTGTGGACAGAAAGGGATGCAGGTGAACAGTACTTGGATGCAATATGAAGCCAAAAACATTTCCAAACCTGTCTGAGAGCAGCTGAACTCAAGCAGCACCTTAAGTTTAAGCCCTTAACAAAGTTTCTGTAGGGGTTTGGCTGCAGTTGTCAATACAGCCATTTCTCACAGCCCCAGACAAGCCCTTTGGCTGCATTTCTCAGACTACTTCTTATCTTCTGCAAAAAGATTTGAATTTAGGTTAATTTGAACCACTTTTTTCTGAAAAGTTTTTGAGACTTCCCTGAAGTTCGGTGGGCCAGAAAAACCCAACCAAAACAAGCATATGCCCTTTTTTCTTCCTACAACAAAGACCCCATGCTGCTTATTAGGAACAAATCCAATAGCTAATGCAGAACAGAGCCAAAACGTCGCAAAAAGCGTTCAGTCAAACGAGGAGTCCCATGTTAGAGCGCAGCAGCCACGTGCATGTGATTATTTGTTGCAGCAGAACGTGTCAACAAGGAGGGACCCGATGGACATTTGCATTTCAATAAAGGCAGCGGCCGCACGGGCTGCGCTCACACGGGTGCAATTTGCAGCCGCGCCGCGTGCGGGCGCAGGGCCAGGTTTGCACTGACCCTGCTCCAGGGCTGCACATGCAGCAGGCCCAGGAGCCAGGTCTGATTTTTTTGCTGGAGGCAGCCTTAGGGCCCAGAACATTTCGTGCACGGAGAAGGATGACATCTTCAGGCCGCAAGGACACAGCACCACATTGCAGAGAGCAGCTCTAATTTGAACAGAGCAAATACATAAAAAGCTGCCTAAAAGGTGCACACAAACACCCACAGACAGAACCTTTGACATGCGATTTGCATTTTGCCTGCATTACCCATTGGGCTCCAATGTCTCTCAGCAAATAACTATTCCTGAATATAAACTGGTATTTTCTCACAAAACAATCAGTGGCGGAAGATACTTTTTACTCACCTAAGGAAAGTCAGTGTCTACTGGGTTGACTCCAACACCTTGTCAGAAAGCGTTTTTCATGACAAACCTACCAAACTCACAGAGTTGTTGGGAGAAGCAGCAATCCCCAGAGGAAGCTCTGCCCCTCGGGCAGTGCCTCTTAGCAGCACCTGCTGCAGCCCGGGTGGGCACTGGTGAGCTCTGCACAGGCAGAGCTTGGAGGCAAAGAACTCCGGATACAGAAAATACAAGCAACCTTTTCCTCTACCTGCCAGTTTTAGAAGGATAAATAATCCTATTTCGCATGCAGCTAAATCCAGAGCTGATCCTTCCATTTTGCACAGGATGCAGGTAGCAGAGAGTTACAGACTTGCCTGAATTTGCAGATGACCCAAGAGCAGGAGCTCAGCAGCGCGGTCCTGGGTCCTACACGTCTCGTGCTGCGGTCGCTACTTCGGAGCCAACGGCACCCAGGATGGAGCAGAAACTAGAAATCTGCTACTAGAAAAGAAAAAAAGTTTGCAGAAAGGTGAAAAAAATCTTTATGCAATACAAAACTTAACACAGAATATGAAAAGACAAATCGGAACCTGCTTGCTGCCTGCCATCACTTGCATTTTGCAGCAGTTATTCCCAATACTACATTCTATAGAAAAGTTGGTTCCCTTTGTGTTACAGGAGTGAAAAATTGGAATTTTTGCCCTTGGATGTAACCACAAAGTCTTATTCTGCTAACAGGAGCTGTTCCAGGTCTACAAACGGTTCCTCAGAAGCCATGTGCCACGCGGGACTTTCCTGAGTCACCCGGGGAGAACAGCCTGCGACACTCTTCAACCTGTTAAATTCACACAGTGTATTTTTACGCAGTAAAAATACGGATTTTTTTTTTTCAGGAAAAAAAAATTACAAAAATCCAAAATGCCTTGTAATATATGAAGCCCCAGTTCTACTAGACTTACTCCTATAGTACCCATATCTCATGCGGTGCTGAAGGTAAAGCGAATTTGACCACATCCAACTATCTGAAATTAGTTCACATAGGCACCAATAAACAGAATGTTTTTCTTTAATGGTGAATGACTTTATAATGAAGCAGAAACATATAATGTATTCCATGCAACCAACCTCATTTATTGAAAAGTCCTAATTTTATTGCCTTGTTTAGTAACATGTTTGTTCAACAAACTAATCTTTTTCATGAAGCAAAGCACAACTTTTTCTTATAAATAGTATAAATTATTTTATTTACAGAAACTTGTTACAAAACAAATAGACTATATATTTATTTTTCTTTTAAATATCCAAAGTAATTTTTCTATCCCATGACATTTGTTCATGTACTATACAGCAGCCAACACAGAGTTCAGCTGATCAGATGCTCTTGATTATGTATACAAATTATCAAACTATTCACACATTTTACAC